TCCCAATGAAATGTACTCATCAGGAGGAACAATTTGATAATGCCATTGTGGGGTATTTGTGAAATTCGGGGTTGCGCCATGCACCCGTTTTCCTCGAAAATTGCCGTAGTGATTGGAAGGTGCAGCAATATTTACATTGTTTAAATCGAAAGCTAGTGAGCTGAAAATATTCCCAATAGAATGTACTCATCAAGGGGAACAGTTTAATACTGTCACTGTCCCTACTTGGTAGTTGAAAAGATCGGGATTGCTGCATGCATCCGCTTCCTTTGAAAAGTGCTGGAGTGATTGAAAGGTGCAGCAATATTCACATTGTTTAAATCGAAAGCTAGTAAGCTCAATACGTTCCCAATGAAATATGGTCATCAAGAGGAACAATTCAGTAATGCCGAAGCGCTTAAAAGTAAGCTCTCCGTCTTGCTCCGCTTCTAACCAAAGACATTGAAACAGTTAGGGATCGATAAGTTGAACCAAGTCTCATGCCGTTGCTAACTTTTTCTCGTGGAAAGCATGAATATAGGATGAGCATGACGTAAATTGTTTCGATCTACCTGATTTCGCATTCATTCACAAAGATTTTTTGAAACCTCCACAAGGTTTTCCTTTTGACCTTGCAACTGTGCAGCTGTCGTTTCGGTCTGGTATACAAGGGTCAGAACTTATAACACACGCTTTTGCCTTTTTGAGCACCTTCTTGAGATCATGTCCTCTCCTAACCCGACGAATTACATTTTTTTTCTTATTCCCCCCACCCCCCTTTTACTTCAAAACATTTCCTTCATACAATCAGAAAATGTTTTTTGTTGGATAGATTAATCAAAACTGCCTTGCTAGGAGTCATTTCTCTCGTATTCAAAAACAAGCTTGGCAACTCATCATTGTAATAGCGTTTTCTCATGGGAAACGGGTTACAATTCACCTAACACTGCCACCCATCGGCCAGCCGTCAAGTGATAGTCTCGCGTCATCATTTTTATCGACTTTCACACTTTTTTACCTCTTTGAATTAGCGGAGTTTTTTTTTTTATTTTTTTGCGATTTTCTCCTCCACCTAATGTGGGTGATGAGTTATTCAACCTCGTGGATGCTGCTACAGCTTCCCCACTTCCTCTTCCTTATAGTAAGCATGAGTCAAATCACCAAATGGTATTTTTATGTTATGGTATTCAATGGTATATACAGTTCTTCTTGGATCACCATACCACTCACCTTTCTCGCGATGTAGAATTTTTAAGAGGCTGAGCGATTAGTCTTCAGTAAGTCGCACCGATTTCTTTCACTGCCCTGTCTTCGCTTGAAGTTCTTCTATAAATTCTGATAGCAATTTACCAGTACTACAAAGAATGGTTCCTTGCATCTACTCGTCTTTGAATGATCTTTTTAATTTCTCTGTCAGAGTTCTAAAGCCAATTAGGAGCCTCTGTGGAAAAGTCCCAGTACCTTCATCTGATGTATGCAGCATGAGATAGCAAAATTGATACTGATAATGAACCTAATGGATTTAAAAGAACCTCATTCAAATTGACGGTACTTTGGACTCAGATCCTGGCGGACCTATGATCACCTGACTTTTAGTCATTCTAACTATGCAACGAGTCTGTGTGTGCCTATAAAAACCATAGCGATTGACCTTGTTCGCCACAATCGTCGTCGTTTCCGTCGACCCGATGATAACTCAATAATCGATCCCGATCACTATTGAAACTGACTGCAGATAATCGTTAGAGTGGAAGGATGAAGCTTTCGCAACTGGCCTATCCGTTCAGGGATACGCCACGCATTATGCCTCTCTATACAGTCGTGATAGGGTTTCAAAGAGTATGTGGCCTCAGTGATAGGCTAGGGCCAAACAAGTCAGAAAGCCGGTCAGACTCGCTCATACAGGCGACATTACTTTGAGAAAGAATGCCCTCTCATGCATACAACCTCCACCCATCCATCAGACCCATGGATTCTCAGAGAATTCACGATAAGTATTCTAAGTACTTGGCCAATACATCCATAGCAATGCAGGTATCTCTTCCGGCTATGGACAGTCTGTGAAATGCTGAAGGAATTCCTTCGGCATTACACCAAGTTAGCCAGTCGTAAATGCCCATTTTCACGGATAACTTAGAACAAAATAAACTTCAAGATAGGATGCCGTCTTCGACGAGTCAGCTGAAGACGTTTCGAAATAATTCCGAAGTCAAATCTCGATTTGACTGAGTTTTCCGGATTTGTTCCCCGCCAACTTGTACTTCAGAGATTGAAGCCGACATCAATCTGAGGGAGAAATATAGGAGTTATACAGTAGACGAGGCGGCAAGGCTACATCCGGATTATTCGGACACTTGACGAATTGCTTTTTTGACATGGATCTCGGCAATGTAATGGGCAGATACACTCAGCGGACATTTCCAACTGGCCATTTTGATAGTATACTTATACATTAGCACACTACATAACATTCGCGCCAAGTAACCAGCCCTAAGTCAGGTACTACCCGAAGCACTCCCACTGTCACATGTCGTCTGGTTGCCGACTCAGAGGTTCAGTCAAAATGGCGTACAATTACCGATTTCTCAAGGAAGGTCGTACCGGTGCAAAGTCTGTTTTCAATCAATGGGTGGTCTCAGGGATGGGTGGCTGGTTGATTCCGGAGCGGGCTACCAATTGATTCCAAGATCATGAATGAATGATTATAGCACAGGGTACATGCAAATAATCCCGCAGTTTTATAAAAAAATCCTATTCATCCCCTTCGAAATGATTCCCTCCAAAGACACTATCCGACGAATTATGATTTAATGAGAGTTGTCTCAAAAGCAGGAGGAAGTAGTTTGAAAGGGCGAGAGTCTTCCGAATTTTTCGAGATGATTGTTGATCAAATAGAAGAGTTTCATCAATAACGAAAAACTAATCATCTAGCGATCAGTAAAACTATCTTTTGTTTCGCTCAGAGTCACCTAATTGTAAAAAACCAGAAAGTAATGTAGCACAGCCTCCAGTAAAACTGGAATAATAAAAATAATGTTAACGCCCATAAAACTGGATGTAATCATATTTCTCATTATAATGCGGAATATGTTATACATTCTCGATAAAAATCATATTAATAACTAGTGATAGAATGCTTGAAGGTTTTTTTTGCAGGATTTCTCGGATGAAGCGTATTTGGATAGTGTTGTTCCTCACTGGAACAACAGTCGCAGTACCGACTGCACGAATGTGTGCAACATTTGCGAAATTTGTCGAAAAATGGAATCCCCTGCCAGAAACGTTGCTTTCCTGGTCGAAATCGAAAAAGAATTGCGACAAAATTCAGCCACGACCTAGTGAAATGACATGTGAAGATATCCAACGAGTAAGGTTTTCCGATGTTTCAAAGTGATGGGCCATGAGGTTTGGGTCAACGATATTGTAGAAGTTTTTTTGAGTGCTCCTTCTGAATGCGCCATGAAAGCGACTGCTGCTCAGGCCATCGCTACATTTGTTTGGTATTATAGTAGTTCGCTTATACAATAGGAGGAGAGGGTGGGTACGGTGAAAGGGGGACTGGGAAAGACTGTCACACGTCTGGTTCTACCCATTATTATAGACTTAGCTTCAGACCGCAGAAACTTAGAAAACTGTTTACTTGGGCACGCACGTAAGTCGAGAAGTTGTGTTGGGCAGCAAGGAAAAAAAGTAGTCACGTCTCCCCATATGCAAGTCATTATGTTTAGGAAGTGGGAGTTGGCAAGACCAATACCGTGACCCCTAGCGTTCTAATCAGTATAGAGTTTAGAGGGAAACTTCAGTAATTCAAAATTAAAGTAAATACGGACTAAATCTGTTTATGTTGCTGTATGTATTGGTGTATGCACGTATGCATGTATGTTCAGTTCATTGCCGATTGTAATTATGGTGAGGGAGGACCAGCAGTGTCTAAAGGCGAAGTGCTTCCAACATCCAATCGCGAGGTCGTAGAAAACTACTACCAGGTCAGTCTTACTTCCGAATATTTTCTCTTTTCTATCTCCCAGTGGTTTTTTCGAGTTTCCCAGTACGACATGTGTAAAGTGAATGAATTTTGGGGGGAAGGGTGGGGGGTAAGCTCAACGAAGAGCGAGGGCAGTCAAAACTCCAATGCCATGAAGCCTCATATCACCATAACTAAGGAGGAAGTTGTCTAGCTCTGATCAGTATGGGATACGTAATGAATGCAACTTGCATTCAAAATCTTAGCTGCGCTAAGCATGCTTAATTGGGTTAGTGCTAAATTGCGGTACCACCTAGCCTCGCGGATTACGTTCCTCAGATATAGCGCCCGTTAGCCTTTCCTGGAAGAATCGGTAGCTGAATGGTGTCATCGAAAAACGATTCCCGGGTGGCGGTACGTTTCACGGAATATCCACTGCACGCGCATCAAATCCACGAGGGCTACCATATCCGTTCCGTGGAAACTAAGACATTTTCCTTCGTGGGCGATCTAGCACGAGGAGCGCGATTCTCGGGGGAAAATACCTACACGCTCCATTCCTGGCTCATACGTATGGATGGTAGCTCTACTTGCCGTTGACCGGCTTCCACTCGACAACTCCTCAACAAAAGACGTAACAGTGATGATAGACCATTTCGGTCAAAAAGCTATCCATCGAGGGCTTACTCCTCAAGAGCATCGATCAGGTGCTGTAAATCCCTCCCTCATGAATGGCGACAAGGTAAAAAGAAAAATCACCGAAATGATCGGCAGAGTAGTCGAAAACCCGCACTTCTACTTTCTGCCCTCTCTACCTACTATACCCAGAATGTCATCTGGGCGAATCACCCAGGCTCGGGTCCACTGAACGAAAGAATTTTCAAATTTTCAGAGAACCTATGGTAATTACCCCAAAGTGCTTGGCAAGTACATCTATTACAATGCAGCGACTGCTTCCGATTATGGACAGTTTGGGAACTGGTAATCAAATTTATTTAAGTTAGCATAACACATGTTTACAGCAACCACTTCAGTTAAATCTGATTTTTCTCGCCTTTTAGGTACTACCCCAACTATTACCCACCCACATACCTCGGTTATTACGACGGCCGGCCGGAAAGTTTAGCTCAATTGGAGAACGATTACAAATTCGCCAAGGGAGGCCATTATCCGTACAACAGGTGAGGGAATTCAGTAATTTATTGAAAATGAGTTGAATTTCGATTTTTCACCGAATTTTAATTTACATTTTGAAGAAAAAAGTGAAACAAAGTTTGTTTTCTTCAAAGCAATAGGGGCTCTTGAATCTGTAACCTCGCCGGACCATAGAAATCACCAAACTTTCTGCTCACTTTTACAACTTTGTACCTTTTCTCTTATAAAAACATAATCAGAATTATTCTGTTGGAGTTTATGGATTAATTTGAACCAATCGAGTGGATAAATCGAACATTTCCCCGAATAGCAAGCCCACTAAGTGACTTTTTCTGGTTAGAGTTTGACCAAGTCAAGGTAAACGTAAAGGTCGGAGAAATAGAAGTTTGCGTACCTGCTTAGCCAGTTGGATCAAATTTAACAGAAGTCAGTAAAGCTGTTGATATACGTTTGAAGTCTCTGCTAGTCTGTGGATAGAATCTGCTTCGATCGCTTCAGTTGGGGAAAGTCACTGTCGGAGACGTTGGAGAGCACTAACCTATTAGTCAGGCTCAACATTTCAGACTGAGCGCTCTTTACTTATCTGAAAAAACAAAGTATATCCCCGGTTTACCGGGGTATACTTTTTTATAATTATATAACCAAGCGTTTTTTTTTCATTTAAAATCTACAAAATCACCTGTCTGATTCGCGAGAACTGCTTATATTCAACTTGCCTCGAATCATCTTGTTTAGGAACTGAAAAAATCCAATTAGAACACAAAAGGCAAAAGGCGCTTCAGAAACCATTCGATCACCATTACATCTAGAAATCACTCAACAATACCAGAAACTAGGAGACCATCGTGATAGAAAAATAAGGAATATTCTTAGAAAACGACGAAACTGCAGCTAAATTGGCCACCTCACCACGAGCAGCAGTAAGGTTCGAGTGCTGTCCGTCCCCTGGACGACCTGCTCGAGGGGCTTGGAAGAGGAGGAGTCGATAAAAGATCGAATCGCTGAACGTTTCCTGATCTCCTTTCGAACTACCTGTGTACTTACCAGCTATAATTATATATCTGCTACACTCCATCCCATTAGGAACTTTGAGATTCATTCGGCCCAGGAGGAACGTAATAGGTAGTAACAGCCAATACTTTTTTAATTTTTTGATTTTCAAAGTTTTACTAGAGAATGACCAGATGCACCGCCATGCGCTCATCAAAGCCAAACCGATTTTCCTTCGTAATGGACAGAAAATCTGCTTTGTAGAACTTTATCTAACTCAATTACTTGTATGTTGCAGGGCTGATAACATCATTAACATTGGTCTACAACAAACATATCTGCCAACATGCCTTCACGATCTCTTCTATTGCATCCGGGCATCAAATCCTTCTCCTTATCAGAATTACTATTCCCAACGAGAAGCCTATCATCATAAACGAAGACGACGTCCTACTAGCAGATATGAGGATGAAATACGAAGATCATAGACCACTGTTGTAAATAATAACATACCATCTTCTGAGTAAGGTAGTATCCATGTTTCCCTTGACTTCTGGTAAGATTTATTTGTAATGGATAATCCTCTGCGTTACCTCATCGCTATTAATTTCGTCGAGCGTCGATTTTCACGAGGATGTTGAGTCTCGGGCATAACTGCTGTTTACTAATTCATTAAATTACGTCTAATCCGAGTACGGTAACTTGTTGTTTTTTCTGAATGATTAGAATTATTGTCCTACCAAAACATTATTTGAAAAGACCTGAATTTGTGCCCACCTTAGTCCCCACCTTTTCCGGTAATTTTCTAAAATTCCAAAAATTGTTTTCATTTGTAATAAAGGTTATACTATTAACAAGAACGGCATCTTATACGAGTTTCGATGGCCATGAACCAATGCTTAAAAAGATTCTACCAAACATGGTCGTTAGGTCAGCCAGCACGCGGCATCGCGTCAGCTCGCCGCGCGAAAGTGTCGCGCGCGGTGACTTGTATGCTCGGGTGTCGTTGCCCCCTATCTAGTTGTTTACAATGGATTAGTTCAAAGCGAAAAAAGTTCGAGACGATGGAAATCGACCCAAACTTGAAAAAAGCAAACGTCTGTGGGAGTTCTGGGCTTCCGAGTGTCTGCATCTTCAGGTATGAAGTATGAGTTCCAACATGAGGCAAAACTCAACAGCTTATGAGAAATATAATTTATTTTTATAATTATTTAATGGAAACAACTATGATTGAGCTCAACGATCAGCGGAAGTTATAATACAAAGATGGTCCGTATAACCACATTCACATATTTAAAATAACCTTCATACTTTTGATTTAATAAACGTTTAACGTTTTTACAAAATGTCTGGGGGAACAGTATGGTTAAACAATAACCGGTTAGCGACGACGAAAGTATGAAAGCGCAGCAAAACCATGGCAAAAGGCGGCGGCGACGACGGCGTGCGTGCGTGCGTGATGCATGCATGCGTACGTATGTGGCGCGTAAAAATCAATTAATGCAATCGGGCGGCGAAGTATAACCACAACGTACAGCGGAAAACGGACATGGACGAATTCGCGGCACGACATCTAATGTGTACGTGCATTGCGAGATAACAAGGAAAAGAAGAAAATGTGTGTGTATGTGTAGGTGTGGGTGTGATGAGGTCTAGTTGAGATTTCGTGAAGAGAAGACGGTCGGCGATCGTGGCGATTCTGATGACGATGGAATGGATGATTGAATGGCACGATTGCTAGCAGACTTCTCGTTCGTTCGCACTCACTGATAAAGATGTCATCTGGAAATTACTTGAGTAAATTCAGCATGAGCCTCTATCACATAGTTTGAGGTCATCATTGCTACCTACTGTACCTACAGTAATCTATATCATATAAAAAGATATCCTAGTCATTATAAATAAAGAAAATAAGCTCAGGTGAAATATATGTAGGTCAGAGAAGGTCAGGTTAGAGATAAAGAAGTGTAAAATATTACGTGAAGAGTCCATTGTGTAGCAGAGAAAAAAAAACGCATAAATAGCATGCGATTAGTACTAGCTATGGATTGAGCCATGCATTTGCCTTCGGTCATGGATTACTGTTAAATTTGAATGTGCATCTGGCATCTGGCCAGAATATCACTCTCTGAAGGTTATTCCATGTGTAGGTAAACGATAGAGTGAGCGGAGGTACGTCGCCAGAACAAGGTGGTAGGCACCTTGGTGGAACCCGAGGAATGTGACTGATTGGAAAGCGACCAGTAGTATGCCTATTTCATCCAACTTGATCCTGTATCCACAAATGATAGTTCACCTGCACTGGAGGCTATGCAGGCTTCAGTGGAGGATTACCAGGCAGTGGTAGGGACCAATACTCGTTTTCTTTTACGAGGCAGCGAACGGGGGATCGTAAGCAAGAAGTATGAGAAGAACTCGACTTCTCAGGAACTAGGATGCTCAGAAGAACCTGCAGCCCGGGTCAAAAAAGAAGTCATGGATTATGTCATGGAAGCAGTCCTTGCCCAGCAGGAAACGTGACAGCAGCGCCTGCATAGCACTGAAAATTTGCTGGGAAAGTTACAGTATAATTCAATACGAAGGGCAGAAGCTTGGGGAAACTGATCACGTAAGCTCCCAAAGAAGAGCTGGATAAACCGGGTCAAAAAGCAAATTTGTGAGCCCCAAGATAACATCCGAAGATGCCACATGTAAATGAAAGGTGAAGAAACTAACAAGAGCAACTGATCGACAACAGCGTTTGCGACTGCGCGAGATTAACGCTAACGAGAAAGGGAAGAAGAACATAAAGACAAATTTCATATCAAGGCCCCCTCCCTGGTTATCTCAAAAGAATGGACAAGCAGTTCCTGGCGAGCCCTAACTATGACCTCGGCTAGCTGTATTCAGACCTAGACCGCCTTCAAGGTGACAACCTTTATCCGATGGTTTCCAATAACGAAAGATAGACCTGATCCGGCTGTACCAGCTGTTTTAGGAATAATTTGTTCGAGTAAAGCCAATCCGGAGGAAAAAACCCAGCGAAACTAGCAATCCTGATCGAACGGAGTTGTAAAAATGTCACTTGCTAGCAAAAATGGAACGTAGGTGATTATCTGAGTATTTTCGGGTCCGGTTCTACTGGAAATGATCCTTACCTAACGCTGCAATGGAAAAGGCACTTATAGAAGTACCAATTACCAAATGGTACCTGCAAAAAAGGTGCCGAATTGATAACTGCTCATCTACGCTCACCTACAAACATACTGACGCGGCATGAACCGGACCTAATAGCATACACATGCAGGACATTTAGCATTATTTTGAATTGAAAGCAAATTGCAGACTCAGAAACCTTAAGTTAACATGCGATAGAAATAACTTGAAATTGAAAAGAGCATTTGAAAAAAAATTGTTAGTAAAACAATGGTGAAGGCTTGCTCA